ACCCCCGGTGCGTCGAGTGCGGCGGGGCGGGGGGGATGGGGGGCGAGCGTCGGGCGACCTCAAACCGCTCCGCCTTTGAGAGGTTTCAGGCGATCGCCGTCCCGAGAGCGGGAGAGACGCCCCCCGGGTTGCCAGGCTCCTTTCCGCGAAAGGGTTCGCCATTATGGTTCTGTTTGTGAGATTCTTTAAAAAAAATTTTTTTAAAGCTAAGCTCAGGCAATCCTCTCGTCTTGGCCTCTCAAAGTGTTGGGATTACAGGCGTGAGCCACCGCTCCCCGTCGGTGTGAGAGTCTTTAAAGTCCATATTCCAGGTCGGGCGCAGTGACTGAGGCCTGTTAATCCCAACACTTTCGAAGGCAGGAGAAGATCGCCTGAGCCCAGGAGTTCAAGACCAGACTGGGCAACATGGGACACCACGTCTCTACAAAAAAAATATTTTTTTTTTTAATTAGCTGGGCACGGTGGTGCCTGTACTCTCAGCTACTTGGAAGGTTGAGACGGAGGGATCGCCTGAGCCCAGCAGGTCGAGGCCTGTGGTAACCATGATTGTGCAGAGCATGCCAGCCCAGGTGACAAAGTGAGACTGACAAAAAAATAGTAATAAGGCCGGGCGTGGTGACTCCTGTCTGTAATCCCAGCACCTTGGGAGGCCAAGGCAAGAGGATTGCTTCAGCCCGCGGGTTCGAGACCACCCTGGGCAAGTTAGCGAGAGCTGATCTCTACAATAAAACAAAAAAATTAGCCAGGCGTGGTGGCGCAGGCCTGTAATTCCTGCTACTTGAAAGGCTGAGGCTGAAGGATCACCTGAGCCCAGCTGGTTGAGGCAGGGGTGGCCGTGAGTGTGCCACTGCACGCCAGCCTGGGCGACAGAGGGAGACTCCAACTCAAAAACAATAAAAAATAAAAAAATTAGCCCGGTGGTAGCTCTTACCTGTAGTTCCAGCTACTTGGAAGGCTGAGGTGGAAGGATCGCCTAAGCCCAGCAGGTTGAGGCCACGGTGGCTGTGAGTGTGCAATTGCACTCCAGCCTGGGTGACAGAGTGAGACTCTGGCTCAAAGAAAAGGAATGGGGGAAATCTGTATGGAGTCCCCAAACGGGTGAAGAGACTCCAACACGCTGAGCCTGTGGTGAAGGGAGGATTGTGACAAAGGGACGAGTAAGGCTGTAAGATATGACCACGTCCATGCCACAAGGCTGAGCACTCATTCAACAAACTTACACTGGCCTCTTCCCCGCCAGTTCCCTGTCAGGGAGGGGAGATTGGCACAGGAAACCCTCCTGCCAGGAAGAATCCAGGGCAGCTCAGCCCAGAACACAGACAAGAAGGAGGGCAGGGCTCGGTGGCTCACGCCTGCCATCCCAGCACTTTGGGAGGCTGAGGCGAGGGGATTGCCTGAGCCCAGGGGTTCAAGACCAGCCTGGGCAACATGCAGAGACCTCATCTCTACAATAAATCAAAAAATTAGCCAGGCGTGGTGGCACACACCTGTGCCAGCTACTCGGGAGACTGAGGTAGGAGGATTGCCGGAGCCCAGCAGGTAGAGGCTGCGGTGACCTGTGATCATGCCACTGCATTCCAGCCTGGGTGACAGAGTGAGGCTCAGACTCAAAAAAAAAAAGGGGGGGGGCGGGGAGTGTTGACTCAGCAGGACTTGGAGCCAACTCAGCCCCTGGAATCCGAAACCGCATGCCCCAGGGCCGATGTGCAGGCCACTACTCATACACTTGGCCTCATGGCTGGGCCAGACGCCAGGACAGCGGGTCCCGGCAGCGGTGACAGGCGGGCGGGAAGGGCAGGAGGGAGGAAAGTCCCAGGAAGGCGTAGGTGCAGCGGGCTGCCGTCCAGCCTGTCCACCCTCCAGCCTGCAGCCCCTCTCTGAGGGGGCCTGTCGCTATCCTGGGGTATCCCAGAGTGTGAGCCTCTCCCCAACTTTTGCACTGAGAGAAATAATCAATTCCTTCCCCTGCCCAATGACCTTTCCATGATCCGCTTTTCAGGGACTTTTATGGAGTCACGTGTCAGACACAGCCATCTAAGGCTTCATGTTCTCATGTAAGAAATTTACCAAAGTCTCCATCCTGGATCCTGGAGCTGGCTCTGAACTTTTTTTTTTTTTTTTGAGTTGAGGTCTCACTCTGTTGTCCAACCTCCTGGGCTCAGGCGATCCTTCCTCCTCAGCTTCCTGAGTAACTGGGACTATAGGTACACGCCACCACCACATCCTGCTAATTTTTTGTAGAGATGAGGTCTCGCTATGTTGCCCAGGTTGGTCTTGAACTCCTGGGCTCAAGCAATCCTCCTGCCTCGGGCTCCCAAAACACTGAGATTGCAGGTGTGAGCCACCACACCTAGCTAGTTTTGTTATTCTGTGTGCGTGTATTTGTATCCCATACATAGAGATGAACATATGTATATATATAACATACGCACACATATATAGAGATATACAATATACACATAAACATTATGGAGAGAGATACATATAATTCACACATTTATATGTAGATATAAATAAAAACACATGGAGAGACATATAATATACACTTTTTTTTTTTTTGAGTTGGAGTCTCACTCTGTCACCCAGACT